AGCACAGAGCAGAGAGTAAGGAGAGAGCACAGCACGCAGTTGTAAATTTGTTGGATAATTCAATTTGTGGTTAAACGCAAGTTAGATGTAAGTAAGCACTGCGACCCCCCCACAAACAGGCACACGCCCACAGCTTAAATAGTGCACCCCCAAAGAGAGGGTAAGAGCGAACTTCCCTCCCCAGGAGATTTAGAGAGGAGCAAAAATCAAGAAGTTGTACGGGCAACGTGTAATTGGGGAATAGAAATAATGCCGTCGGAAAATAAAACCGCAAAAAAAAAGAAACCTTAAAGGAAAACACCAGCACGAAAACCCGAAATCCCTCCAGTGAGAGGGGAGAGAGAGAGAAAGAGAGCGATGTGTGACAGCCACACGCTCGCTGATCCACTTGCCAATCCCCCGCACACACAACACACAGATAGTAGGGAATAACACAGTTATACTCGTACGTTAGATACAATACGTGAATATAGCAGTACTTGTATAGTTGTTGGTTTTAGCGCTCTCAAGCGCTTTAGTTTGCTTTTTATGAATTTTGTATTTTTGCTGATATTTCAGTGCGAAGAGGAGGGGAGAGAATTCCCTTTTGCTGGTGCCCCATGACGTATGAGTAATGGCTTTAGCCATGCCACGCACTGTCGACATTTGGCCAGACACCTTCCTGAACCTATGGGTATTATGATTTTGGGAAGAGATTTGCAATGCCGGCATAATGCCTTATATTTCACATGATGTCTGGACTAAGAGGGATATCTTAAGAAATTTATTTTTTTTAATAAATACAATATAATAATATAATTTGCAAAAAATTACTATATATTTATTTAATTCAATTTAATTTATTTGCTTTATATATTTATTTTTTTGTATTTTTTTTAAATTAAGCAGAGTTCTAATATTTTATATCTACATTGTACATCCAAGAGTATCTACAGCATCGGCTCCCCAAAAATTCTCTAACTATTTTTTAATTTTTACTTTTCTTGTTTTCTCTGCGGTTGCGCTGCTTTACCCCTCGCTCCACTTCCACACTCTTCGTGCGTCCGCAGTCGCATATGCATCTGGATTGTATCTGTGTATCTGTGTTTGCTGTTGATTCTTCTTGCTTTTATTGTCTCCCTTTTGAATCCCTTTTGCATTGTCAAATTGGTTTTGTTTAAATTGAATACTTTGTAGCGTTGCATTTAATCGAAAAAGAATGATATTTTTTTCAGACACGCGCCGCGTGTTTCAAATGAAAAATGAATTGCGGATCTATTTCCACTGTGTTGGGGAAAACCTCTACAAAAATAGGATTAAAGGAGATCCACACAGATTTTTGTTCGGACAAACGAAATGAATATCTTTATTTTCAGTTTTCAAAGCAGATATTCCTGCTCTAAGCCATGGAGACTCATTAGAAACTATTTCAAAATACTAAACCTACAAAAAAAATTTTAAAACAGGCACTCCAATAGTTACTTAAACATTTTTCTATTGATTTGTTTCCTGGTAACATGTTTTCCATACAGCGTCTCCTTCCTTTTCGTGTCGTTTGTTCACCTCTCAACTCACATCATCATCATCATCATTATCTCTGTCGTTATCCTCTCTGGCCCCCTAATGAACCCTTCAACACAATTCAGGAGATTTATACACGGCTTCCCCATTCATCATTTTCACAGATTACCAGCTGAAAGATTTTGTTTTTGCCGGCTTGTAGATGGAGGGGTAAATAAACTCCAGGCGGCATGCACTTGGGACTTAATCTGCCGCATAATTCAAAAGCCTCTGCATCATGGTCTGACAGTCAAAAAAAAAAAAAAAACAAATCCAAAGAAACCGAAAAGAAAATAACACCCGAAACGAAACGAGCAAAAAGGAGCAAAAGTTTACTTCGAGGGAGCAAAAGTTTTCTTCCGCGTTTTCCCCCCCTTGTTTTGCTAACTTCATATTTATATAATAACTTTATGTTTATGTTGTAGATTTTCCTCCGCTTTATCTATAGAGTGGGGAAATACTCACCTTTTTTTTTGGCAATGGACAAAGACTAAAACAGCAAACAAAGTACAGAAAAACACACACACCATACTGTAGCCATATAGCCATAACAAAAGGAGCGGCGCGTTGGCGTCTAAAGTTGATTTCTTAATGTTGAACCTACTGTTTGTTTTGATGAAGGAAATGCCACCCACACCCATACACAGAATGTTCCAGAGAGACAGAACGAGATCCCTGCGTCATGTGGAAGTTGAGGAGATGCTGCTGCTGCTGCTTCAACTGCTTCTGCTGCTGCTTCAGAGACTCAAAAGATGTTGCCCCAAGGCAATTTACACTGAAGTTGTTGATACAGAAACACTTGGCAGGGGCCAGGCCAAAAAGGCGCTGAGCCAATATTTGAAAAAGCCACTGCATCCTTCGTCCTACGTCTCTTCCTCTCGATTCTTGTCGTATTTCCAGTAACGGAAGCGGAAATGTGCATTATTTGATATGAGCTCTTGTTTTTGTTACTTTTTTTTGTTGGTCTTTTGTTGGAAACAGAGACACTCCACTCCACACACACCAGTGGATAGGCATTCGCATCACATGATTCTGTTGAGAGACAGCTTTTTGTGGCTAGAAAATGGAACCACACAGCGCACACAACAAAAATCAATGTGGAAAGTAATTTAATTTCAATTTTCATGATAAGAAATGCCTCAAAAGGATGTTTGAAAATTGAAAAACTCTTCAGCAAAAAGGAATTTCATTGACAGAACAGAACACTAATGAAAATGGATTACAAAGGAAGGCAGAAAAAGCTAATAAAAATCTCTCCCCCCTTCTTTTTTTTTTTTTTTTTTTGCAGATATTCCTTTTCATTTATTGCACAAAATTTTGTATCTACCTTTTGAAGAAGCTCAAAAAAGTTTCCCTTCTTTTTCAGCTTTCCGCTCATTTTATTAGCATATTTATTAATTTTCCTCAGAGAACCTTCAACTATTCCATAGTCAATATATAAAGTAATTCAGATTTTTCATATTTTTTTCCTCCTCAACAAGTTTCAAACAAAAGGCGGAACAAAAAATTTTCCCTCCATTCACTCGAAGAATTTCCATTGCTGTTACAGCTCGCAAAACTTTCACGGATCCTGGCTTGGCTCTGTATTTGACAGACTTTGAATTTTTGGATAGTTTTCGCTCCACAAACCACCTCTAAGCATCCCACAGCGAGAGAGAGAGAGAGCGGCAGGAAGAGGCTTTTTTCAACCGCACGCGAGGCGCTGATATTCAAAAGCGCACCACAAACTTTTTTTTTTTTGCCAGAGCCTCGACTCGAGTACATAACGGGAAAAATGTGAAGCACCTTCCTTCAGTTTTATCCACAAAAAAACTTTGCCAACGCCAAATAGTTGGAAAACCCCGGAGCAAAAAATAAACTAAATTTCATACTGCAAAAAACGGCAAAAAAATATATATATATAGTTTTCCAAAAATCCGTGAAAATATATATAAGAATAAGGTATGCTCCAGGGTGTGTTTTTATTGGATACCCTGCGTAGAGCGTAGAGGGGCAAGTAATGATCGAACCATAAGGGGATAAATGACTGAGAGATATTTTTTTTTTTTTTGTAATAAATAGCAGAAACTGATGGCCTGTTACATGCCTCTCCCAACACCAATATACCCTTCGTTTACGCCCTTCAAGTACATTTGGCTATAAATACGCGGAACAAAACTTTTTGGTGAAGCAAAAACAAATTTCCACGCCACAAACTCTCCCTCCCCCTGCTTTAGCACCTACCACTCCCCCACTACACTGCCACTCCCACTTCAGTGGTAAATGAAATTTTAATAAACTGAAACTGGTACTGGTCTCTGGCTAAATCGTTTTTTGTGGCGGGCATGCCGTTACGCATACCCCATACGCCGTGTAAGCCGCCGCCTTGTGGTAAATTTTAATTGGCTTGTCGCGACTTTTATTCTCGCTGTCAGACTTTGATTTTAATTTTTCCACAGCACAGTACAGAGGCACAGGCATGATTAAAAACTTTACATAGTTTCGCTTTGGCTTTTGGTTTGGGTTTTGGGATTCGTTTTCAGTTTTCTGTTTCTGTTTGGTATTTGTATTTGGTATTATTGCATATAGTAGAGAGCAGCGAAGTGAAAAGTTTTTGTATGGGGGGGAAAACTTGGCTTGGCTTCGAAATTGGCCAGGCCGCCAAAGCCCTGCGTTGAAAAGTTGTGCCATGCCGCCGCTGCCGCCTGTCTGTCTGTCTGTCGGTTGTGTCGTATGGTTCCTATGGCAACCAAACGGCATGCAGCAGACAGCAAAGCAAAGGCAGGCGGGGCAGGCGTTTTATATAAGAATAGTTTTGCCCCGATAGTCATACTCCTCCTGCTCATCGTCGTCCTGTCTCTCAGCTCAGGTAAAAGTTTAGGATTTTAATTAGTTTTGGTCGTCGCTTAGTGCCAAAGCAATTTGTTAGATAAGGGTTACTCTCACTTTAATATAAATCTCTTAGTTCCGGGGCTCGTCATTTAGCCCCTTCGCCGCTGCTGCCGACGCTGTGGGGCCATTGTCTGGGGGCCCTGTGGCTGATAGATGGAAGATCTCTTTGGTGGCAAACTAATTGCCGGTGAAAACTTCTCAGGGAAAGCAATCTCTTGGCTCATCACAAAGTTAGGCATGAAACACATGTCTTTCAAAGAGGATTACAGGATGGTTTGCCCATCCCCCTGCAATTGCAATTATTTACATATTCAAATATTCTGCATTTACCTATTGGCATTTACCTTTTATTGTTTGCTCAATCAATGTGTGTTCTATAAATACCATTTCACATTTGCCACTAATGAACTTTCTCTTAATTACCAGACAAGATACTGTGAATGCTGCAAGCTGCAAACGGAAATATATATGCCAAACTCTTTGCCTTTGAGGCGAATATGTTTATGTACATGTGTACTGAATCAGCATTTGTTATCATTAATTAATCATCAGAGAGGTCTCCACATTTAATGCCACCGCACAAATAGCAATTCATCAAAAATATGTTCTTTATTTCTGCTCAATTTTCAATGACTGCGTACAGGGTATATTTGTGTATTAGTCAGAAGAAAGTACTTTGCTTTTATTACCATATCTAATTTAATTTGCGCGAAGTGTTCAAAATTCATATTGACAAAAAGATTAAAAAAAAACTGCAGAACGTTAAGCATTGTATTGCATTTAAGGTTTTGTTTCTTCAATGATTTCACCTGTTATACAGTACGACCAAATATTATTTGCAAAGCAAACTCCTCCTTTCTTTTTCGCAGCATAGTAGGCTTCCTGTACTTTTTTGCTAACATTTTTAGGTTTTCCCTTGGGCTGGAAAAACCAAATGTCATAGGTGGGATTATAGGCCAATCTAAGCTTGCCATAAGAGCTGTAATTTAAATAAACAAATCAAACAATTAAAAATTCAATATTATTTAGAGAGAAATAAATATTACCCTTCCACAGGGACTCCAGGCACAAGCAGGAGCACCAGACTACCAATTAATATTATGGCCAGCTTCATGTCTTTATAGTCGGGCTGACTGATTGCGAATGAGAGTTGCTGTTGTTTTGGCTTTTACTTATTGACGAGCAACACGAGGCCCTGGCCTTGTCCAGCCTGCCGCCGCCCCTTCTCTGTGCCACTGTGCCGCCGATAAGTGAGCGTGAAGTGTAAAATTCGGAACAACAAAACAACAAACCTGTAAAAGTAGCATGCAATGCCAGGCACCAAAATGTTGATAAAACTTACATGCGGGTTCTGTGGGTACTTGAAGCTTGCGTATTTGGGCAGCCAATGAAGGATGCAACATGCAACGATTTTGACTTGAAAAGGTTTTCATTATAAAGTTTAAAGAAGAAAGTTTATATTTCTTGAGTACTGAATCACTTGGATAATTTTCATGATATTAATCTTAGACGTATCCTCCCTAGTAGGAAGTCCCTACGCAGCTTTCTCGTATTTGCTATTATTTTTTGTTTATTATTTTGATTACTTTTCATTGATTATCCTCATACACATACACACACACACACACATACACTTGTGGCATAGAGGCCACGGCAACGTGGCAAGCATTTTTCTCATTTGCTTTTATTTATTGGATTTGGGACTTGCTGATGCTGCATGGGGATTTCCCTTTCTCCCTCATACTTTGTCCGTTGCCTTCTGTACTTTTCACCCAGGAGCGTATATATAATTAAGTTTGCCTTTTGATATATATATATATATGCATACACTCGTATTCTTTCACCTTTCGCCTGTGTCTCCTGTCTCCCTTCGGACTGCCATCAGTCACTTCTTATGCAAATGTTGGCTGGCCATTCCAGCAGACATGCTGATGCGTGTGTGTGTGTGTGTGGAAAAAATAAGCAACGAAGATTGAATGCGCTTAAAAAATCCATGGAATATGGTTTACTTTTGATACAAAAATATAACCAACAAAATTATATTTTAAATATGAACATCGGAATGATCGACTTTCGATTCATGCACTCAAAAATAATCTCAACAAATCTTTATATTATAAATTATAAATAAATTAAAGGCTAGAGCTAGAGCTCGTATATGTCTCTCCTTCACGAACATACATATTGGAATGAATACAATGCTTACGGTATCCTCAAATACTCTACCTCTTCCAGAGGGGTATAATATATGTGTATCCCTTACATTCCTCTTTTGCAATTGCTCCCAAATGTGATGTTCTCTGCATCTCTGCGCGCGTTAGAATAAAAATAAATAACAGAAACAGAAAAGAAACGTGAGGTCACGTACATGAAAAGTTGTGACTGTCTGTCTGTGTGTCTGTCAGTGTTCCCTGCCACTGTGCCACTGCTAAAAGAAAAACACATATTCAAATGCATATTGATTCTGCGGTCCATCAGCTGCCACTCCTCGCTGCTGCCCCACAAGTGCCACAATCATGATACGCATCAGCAAACGAAGCATCAACAATAAATCCACCTGGTGGGCAAGAACAAAAAAATCCAAAGGAACCAAAAGCATCGAAAGAAAAAGCAAAACTAAATCTAGTCCCAGGCAAAAAGACAAAAGCTAGGATAAATTTACATATTTTCCTCTAGTATACGCTGGCAGTGTCTCTCTATGTGCTTGGCATTATTCTCCCCCTATTTCTTGACTCATTTCCAAGACTTTTTGCCTCTTTTTGCTTGGCCATTTGTGTAGCAAAATGGTAAAGGGAAGAGCTCCTTACGTTTGTTAATGACAACCCATGCGTGTGAATTTTGGGAAATGAAAGTCCGAGAGAATGAAAATCAAAGCACAAAAACTCCATAGAAATGAGTACCATTCCAGACAAGGATTCCTGACATTTCCTGAGGTTTTATCAGAGTGCATCAATGTGGCTTGGAGCCCATTCCTTTTTTGGGTAGAAATATATTCATCCAAGCCAGACAGTTTTCCGGTCTATAAAAGGAGCTTTCCCATGACTAATTATTTTCAGGCCAACAATAGTGTGATTTCTGCCTTTAGCCAAGTGCAGAATTTATCTTTAATTTACTGCCTAAATTCCCTTTTAGTGAGGTTTAACTTTGTTGCCTGTCAGTAAATTGGTTCTTAAACACTTTTCAGCCAGAAAATGCCGACAAATGTAGCCAAAAATAAAAGAACAGTGATTTATTCGAGTAGAAAATTAACTTTACCTGGTTAGGAAATATGGTATATCGGTAGAGAGGTAGGAGAGGTAGGAGAGGTGGTATATACATTATTCAGTATCGTTTAAAAGCTACATCCTAAGCATTATGGTAGCAGAAGCTTCTCAAAGCCATCATTTATTTGTATTTATGATTGGTATATGTGTCGTATAGCTAAGAAAGTTGGCAGATCCGTAGATAATCTCTGTAATACATTGGGGGAGTCTCAAAAATGAAATATATACCCTTCCATTGCGTATTAGAAAAAAAAAGGCGACGCAATTTGCATGACACAATAGCAACGCATACGAGTAGAACCCCCAGAATGAGCCAGAGACAGCGAGACAAAACAAAATGCCGAATTCCCTTCCTAAATCCTGCATACAGCATCCTGCATCGTGCGTTTCAATAAATCAAAAATCTGCTGCGATGGCAGGAGTTTCAGCATTCCAATCCGAATCCTTTTGCTGCTTCAGCTGCTGGTGCTGCTATTGCTCATGCCACAGCTACAGATCCCGCTCAAGTATCTACTCCTGCACTAGATCCCCCTCCAGTTGCACTCTCTCTACTCCGCATTCAGTCGCCCTCCCTCTACTCCTCAGCCAGTCTCTACTGTTGCTCAACATCAAGCTTTTGCTCCTGCTCCGGAGCAACTACTCCTGCTTCAGATCCTTTGCTCTTCCTTCAGATTTTCCACCATTCACCATTCAGTAAGAATACAAGAGAAACGCATTGGCCATGCAAACACTACTGCTGATTGTGTAAACAGAAGTGATAACCCTCTACAGAGAGCGAGAGACGAAAGGACCACTGCGAGGACGACAACAGAAGAAGGTGGCAGCAGAATGGGAGGTGGTGCTCTCGCTTCCAACGACAATGAAATTGAATTTCAATGCCATCCTCCTCCCTTATTGTTGTGTGTCAGCCTTGGCAATAATTGTTCAGCCTCTCAGCGTGTTGCATATAAGTGACTTGCGAGTGCCACAAGGGCTCACTCTGGCTGCATTCCGTGCTATATTTTCCATTGTTATGGTACCACATACAGTACGCGACGGCATCTTTTTACAATACCTCTCAAACCACCAATTGTTATTGTCAAACCCGGCAACAGCAACAGCTACAGCATGGAAACCATTATCGCCCAACAGCAGCAGCAGCAGCACCAGCACCAGCAGCGGCAGTGAGTCCCCAAGCCGCATGGTTCCCCCAATCTTTGGTCCCCAATTCCCATTTGCAGTTGCCATTGCATTTGGCATACGTGTAAATCGTAAATTTCCGCATACAAAACGAATGGCAACCGCCAGGCCGGAGACAGCAGAACAACAGGAGCAGCAGCAGGAGGCACTGGGGGAACAAGGAGCAGCATCAGCAGCAGTCAGGGGGGAACTAGGGGAACAAGAAGCCAGACACCCCCAAGCACAGGGCAATACCTCAATGTGGACAAGCGACGGCGACAGCCGCACAGGCAACGAGAAAACAAAAGTCGCTTCCTGGTTAATGGAATACATATCCGAGTGGACCATCTTTCGTTGCACAACCCACACCACCAACAGACACATACGTCCATGGGATTGTCCAACATTTTGTGGCTATTTATGGGTGCAACCTTATGCTTATGGTTGAAAATTGAAACCAGAGGACGGTAGAGGAGTGGGGCATGAAAGTTGGGGAGATTTATTCACTTTTAAAGATGGAATTTTTATAAATATTTATGGTATTGAATACTAGATAGATTCTCTAATTAAATTCTCCAATTTATGATGATTATGATTTGAGGTAGGAGAATATCTGTAGATATAGAATTCAGTAGGAGGAACTTTAGATCTAAGCCGACTTTCACTTAGATGTTCAATTTGGTTTATTTGAATTTTATCAAACAACTGAAATGCACATTTTTTAATTATATATTCTCGATTGAAAAACTCAATGCTCTGCACACAAATTTCCACGAAAAACCAATTTTCCAAGATACCTCCCTCGCACATAATTTTTGTATCGCTTTGCATATTTTGTGAGATTGGATGTTGACCAGCTGTGTCCCTCCCCTCCCAGGTAGGGAGGAAGCCCCAATCGCTATCCAGTCAGCGCATTCTGCTCCTTTCCTGCCACTCATTTCTCTCATACCTGGCATCCGCCATTGAGGTAAGAAGGAAATGCGAGACACGGGATCTTTTATGACATCCACTGGAGTTAATGCGACTTCAGTGGATCTGCTGGATGCTGCAGGATGCTGCCTCTCATTGTCAACGGTGTATAATTTTCACACTCCAGATGCGGACGCTGTGGATGCGAATGCGAATGCGGATATTGCATAGGGGATGGATGGATGCTACTGTTCGACTCTCTGGCGGCGGTGTTTTTGCCACCCCATCATGGCTGATTTGATTGCACTGCGCTCTGGGTTCGTTGGGTTTCGCTCCTTTTGTTGTCTTCGGTTGCTTTTCGTTTGCCCCCCAGCGTTTTGATTATGCAGCAGCAGCATTTTTGCATCATAATATTCATAAATATTTATGAGGCAAGTTGTCTAAACATAAAATGGACATGAAATATGTGCTGCTTCCAGCAACCGGCATCCGCATCCTCATCCTCATCCATTTCTCATGCATTTAAACCAAAGCCGATATCAAATCAAATCTCGGACGAGAGAAGAAGTGCCTTGGCCAGGAGGCGCTTAGGCAAATGAAGCGCCTTATCAAATGTCAGAAATGACAGAAATGGAAAATAAAAACCCCCCATCCTACATATCTCTAGCAAAAATTGATTGCAACTGAAATTGCATTTAAATGGACAATTTTAATTTTCTGAAAGCCATCAAACGAAAATATTGCACACCAAAAATATTTTTCCAACTGCAGATGCATCTGCAGCTGAAGCTGCCATGCAGCAACACATTTTTCAATTTAAAAACCAC